GGCTCAATAACTGTTGCACAGATATAATACACTACGCATCAATTTCTCTTCCCTTTGTGCTTTGCAGTTTTTAACACGAAGTGCTTCGTGCTCATAGACTGTCAACCTGATTTGCGAGTAAATCACTCGCAATATACGACTAATTCTTCACTCCGGGCGACTAAATGATGTCTAATATTAGCCAATGGCTAATCAATTCTCAGATTTTACTCGCCAGTGTGTGAGTTGGAGGCTGAGTATGTTTAGCACAGATATATTTTCACTCACGGAGGCAAAAAAGGCGGATCGGAGCATCCCTAGAACTAACCCTTTAAGGCCTTAAATTGTGGCATTGAAATCTATAACAAAGGAATGTCAAAAGGAAGGTCTTACTTCTCCTGCTGTCCCAGTCATCTGAATAAACTCCGTCGTAATGATCTCCACCATTTCTCGCACCTAAACAAATAAATAGTTTAAAACAATGCAGTGTACGGTAGTAATATTTACAACATAACTACAGTACCTGTCTAGGGTCTGCACTTGCATGGATACAGAGCAGACCACTATCTTCATAGCTGTGGTGGTACGAAGTAGCATTGTACATCCAGTGATGCCTGTACAAACAACAACAAATTGCTTAAAACGGTTCACCACATAAATAACAGTAGAGTTTATAGAGTATGAGTAGACAACGCCACACCTGTTGAGCACATTAAGGTAGAGACGGGTAAACATGCCTTTTCCGGGCCCTCCGGCAGAGAAGGACCCTCCGCCTCCCATCATCATATTGAGGACCGCAAAGGGGATGAAGTCATCCTCCTATAAGTGAAAAAAAAAAAAACTCATATCAGCACACAAACATTTCTGGCAAGCATGAAATTTAATTGATATGAATTTAATATGTGCAACAAACCAAAAAGGAACAGCTCTCCAGTCCAATCATGATGTGTGTTAGTTCAGGAATGGGTGTTGGACCCAAACTCACATCTGACATGTCCTTCTCCATCTGACATGAGACAATCAGCTTAGCTCAAGTAATTCGAGAATCTTAAAAATAGAAAATGATGTCTGCCGTACGTATGAATTCACTCACCTTAATGCCACCCGTGTATTGTACTACAGACTGGTCGATGTTGGCAGGTGTGCTCGCACCCCATACTGGTTTAACATTTAGGAGATACTTTCTGGCACACTGCACAAGCTGCTCATGTTCAATCCCAACCCCGGCCAGCACCATGCGCTCCGGACAGTAATAGCTCTGTAGGTACTTATGAAGCAGCTTCCTGTCAATTTTCTCAACATTTTGGGGAGGGCAGAAGCGAGGCAGGCCCACGGTGTTGCCCCTGTACGCAGCCTAAATATTGAAGAGGAAATCAAATAAGACTTAGAGACTCATTTCAAATGACCTACAGCAAAGCATTAAGCCGTACTCACAGCATGAATCATTTCTGTTAGTAAAGGCTCCGGGTCAGGTCTCATTTTCAGATCCTCCAACTCAAACTGAACAGCCATTCTGGTCATCTCAATCTCCTCATCTGAAGAAATAACATCAGTTACATACAATACAGGTCAAAAATCTGGAATAAAACACTTTTCAAAAAGTTTTTTGAAGTCTCATATGCTCACCAAGGTTGCATGTGTTTGATTAAAAATACAGTACAAACAGAAATATTATTAATTCAAACTGTTTTCTATTTTAATATGTATTTAAAATACAATTTATTCCTGAGATGGGGAAAGCATCATTACTCCAGTCTTCAGTGTCCCATGATCCTTCAGAAATCATTCTAATATGCTGATTTGGGGCTCAAGAAAAAATGTTTGTTGAAAATAATTGTGCTGCTTAATATTCTTTGAGAAAACATTTTATCAGCATTCTTCGATGCATAGAAAGTTCAAAAGAAGAAAGTTTCAAATAGAAATCTTGTGTAACATTGTAAATGTCTTTACTATCACTTTTCATCATTTTAACGTGTCGTAGCTGAAAAAAAGTATTCATTTATTACTCACTTGCCCCAAACTTTTGAATATTAGGGTATAACTTTAACCATTTCAAAGATTCAGTAACATTAAAGGGGTCATATGATGCGATTTCAAGTTTTCCTTTCTCTTTGGAGTGTTACAAGCTGTTTGTGCATAGATAAGATCCCTGAAGTTGCAAAGACTAAAGTCTTCTTGAACCTGCAGAGTAGCCTACAACGCATCTGTGCACAAAGGCTGTTTCAATAAAGTGGGGTAGTTCCAACTTTGCAAGGACAGTCTGGCGCTTCTGACTCACTTTCTCCGATCACAAACGCAGACATGGTTTTATGGTTTACGCGGCGCGATACGCAACGCAACGTGTAAAAAGACAGTATAAGTCATTATAATCAGTAATTATGTCCCCACTGGATGCAACAAATGCCTCGTTTGTAATGGGTTTTATTGG